GACAGAGAGAGAGAGACAGAGAGAGACAGAGAGAGAGACACAGACAGAGACAAGGACACACAGACAGAGACAGGGACACACAGAGAGAGAGGAGAGAGAGACTAGCCTGGAACTCACAATCCCAAGAGCTGTGATTAAAGCTGTCTGCCACTACCAGCCAGCAATATATGACTTATATACACGTCTGCTATCCTTAACAACATTCTCTTAACTACCAGTGCACATCCTGGGGTATGAGAGCTCCTAGTGGGTTCCCCTGGCATAGTGGTGATGACGCTGGAGGGCAGGGAGGATAATCTGTTAATATCCCATCCCTTGATCACTGAATACTCACTGTGCACCGAGGGCCCAGTTTACGTATGGAGCAGGGCTAAAGGAGAGCAGTGCTTGGCCACAGGAGCTTCAGATGGGCAACTGCTGGACTACCCGTCCCCTCTCACGGTCCCATGCCTTCACCTAGGTTCTAGAACTCCTCAGAATGGTCTGACTGCAAACCCCAGCCAGACCGAAGGCCCCAGGACAAGGGCTCACCCTCAGGCTGGAGCCAGGAGACTATGCCATATTTGGGGTGGCCCTTGACCCTGGGCAGGCCCTTGGCTCCCTCCCACTCGACTAGAAGCAACCAAATCCTCAAATCAGTTTTCACACATTGGAGTGGCTCTGTGCTTTAAATCTAGAAATGTTGCAATCTGAAACTTGTTATAGTTTGAAAGTCATTCACACAGTCAGAAACAATATAAACTGGGAGCAGGCATCTGGCTTTATTCTTTTGACATTATTTATTTTAACCTTTCGCGCACACACACACCACATACACGTGTGTGTGTGTGTGTGTGTGTGTGTGTGTGTGTGTGTGTGTGTGTGTATGCGCGCGCGTGCATGTGAGAGTATACATATATGTGCATGTATGTGCCACGGTAAACATGTGGAGGTCACAGACAACTCTGGGAGTTGATTCTCTCCTTATCCCATGTGGGTCCTGGGGTGACAGTCAGGTTATCGGGCTTGGCAGCAAGGGCTCTGACCCACTGAGCCATCTCACCAGTTTCTTTTAACAACTTTTAAACTAATCAAATCGTGGCTCAGTCTGCTCCTGCTGGCTTATGGGATAGGAGGAGGCCTAGACTTGGTATCCCCTCTCTGCTAGAAGCTTGGCTCGGACAAGTATTTGCTGGGCATTTTCTGCTTAAATAAAACCTGCCCTTCAGCTAGCTCACTGTATCTTCCTCTTTGTGCACACCACCAGTGTACTCCAAACTTGCACAAGACTGGCATAGAGACTGGGGCTCAGTCCTGGGCCACAGAGATAGGCTTTACCAAGTCTGCACTGATATGCCAAGCCAATGAGCCTTCATACACACGGGCACTTGTGTTCCCCATCCCTCTGGCCTGGACACAGGGAAGAAGTGAGAAGAAGATATTTCCAAATAGAAAATACTGTACCAGGGACAGTGCTGTCTCTGGGTGACAGGGCTGATCAGAAGAAAGGAGCTAGGTCCCATTTGTATCACTTTCCTAGAGCCTTTGCCCTTAGCACTGGGAGCCATGTGACAATCCCTCCCTTTACAAGAAATGGGGCTACCCAACAATGGATGGCAGGTTGGGGTGGGATTACAGGGACAACCAAACATCCACAGTCTTCTGCACTTAACTGAGCCTAGGGTTTGTTCTTGGTCAATGCTCAGGGGATTGCAAAGACTTACTGGTCTTTATACCATTTGCCTCAAGTCTTGAATGTTCAGACCAATCCTCTGTTGAGGTACCAACTGGCCACCTTTACAGGGGCCTTTGTAAGGCAATATCTTCTAAGCCAAACTTCATGAGATCAGCTGTGTCTGCTTGCAAGCATCCTTCAGATTCTGGTCTGTGAACCTCCGACATTGCCTAGAAGGAGTGGGCAGAGAAGGTTGTTGGACCCTCACCCTCTCTGGCTACCCCTCCCAGCTAGCCATTTGTGTTTAATTCTGCCCTAATGCCACATGCCTCATGGGAAGAGTATAAGCTACAGGTTCTAATGACAGGGGAAAAGAGCCTTCATCGGTACTGCTAAGGGGAAGCCATCATTCATGCCGGATGAAGACTTTTTGTGAAGTAACTGTCAGTAGCTCCTCCTGTCACACTTTCGCCAGTAACCCCTCACCCCTGCTCTGTAACAAACCCACTGGTTCTGGGGGTACCTTCAGTAGAACTGTACTTTGGTTTGTTGTTGAGACCTTAGCAGGAGGGGATGGATGTTGTTCACATTTCCCCAGGGAAGGAATGTCCCCAGCAGGTCAAGTGTATACTCGGTGCTAATCTTGAGACCTTGAATAGCCTTCAACCCTAGTTAGGAAGTCAGGGACATCATCCTTGTGTTAGGAGAACAACTGCCATCTAGTTCACCACTGTACTTACAGACTTGCATGATAGAAGGGCTGGGGACACTTGTCGCACATAGGCTAATAGGTTTAGAAAGACACTGGCCTCGTGGGACGACAGGTGGCCTTGTTTCTCTGGGGTGCTCTCAGCTAGCAGTGAGGGCTGTGCACAGAGGGCCTGCATTACTCTTAGGCCAGGTATGGGTGAGCATAAAGACAATCCCAGGGGAGTCTCAAGTTCCCCAAGAAGGCCTTTCTTTTACTCACGTATGTAGCACCCACTTTTGTTGCAGCAGAAGGGAGTGGTGTCACTCTGGTGAGGGCAGGAGTAGCTGGAGAGGCTCAGGACAGGCAAGGCTGGGGAGCAGGGGGGGGGGGACGGAGGGAGGAACACGGCTCCAACCTCAAGCTGACCAGCACCAGCACTCCTAGGTCATGCCTCATTCCTGCTCCCTCCTCCCTCTAGCTCTGGAGACGAGGACTCCCTCTTGGTCTCTGCAGGGAACCCTGTTCCTCTTGACACTCTTTTGGGCCTGGATCTTAAAGGCTGTGTTATCCTTTCTCCCTCCCATTTCTGCTTCCTGGCTTCCCTCAGAGTCCAGCTCTTGCCCCCAGGAGCTGCTGCCACCATGCTGTCCTCCTCGCCTGGCCTGTGTCTTTCCCTTTGTCCTTTACACTTCCCTAACTGCGGAACAGGGGCTGCCCTCTGCTGACTCTCCAGCCTCCCCCAGATTTCCTAGTGTCCAGATGCCATTAACCCTTCCTCTCTCCATGCTGCCTGTCCCTAACAAAGCCCCTCACCCTCCCAGCCCTGCTCTGCAGCCTCACTCCTTCCCAGATGGTATCCAGCGTCTAGGGGGCAATTCCCCATAGGTATGCAACTCTAGCCCAGTCCAGCCTCCATCTCCTGCCTTGTCCCCACCCTACAGACTGAGGGCAGCATCCAAATCCAGCCATTGGGATCAGCTTTCTGCTAGACAAAGCTATATTAAGGAGTTTCATAAATTCACATGATTCTAGCTCTCCTCACCTAAGATTTCAGTTTCAGAACTAAAATTTTCTTTGGGTCCAATCTTAGCCCCAAAGGTCTAGGCCCTCATAACAGTACATCTGTTAGGGGACCTGAATGAAAGTAATCTCACAAATGATACACCATTTGCTAGCCATGTATATTTGTCTGTGGCTTCAGATATTTCCATTCAATTTAACAACTGTAAGAACACAAACCTGGTGACCTGGAAAGCACTCTAGATGACGCTGGGATGTGCTAACAGTTTTGTGTTCAGTTTGCCCCAAGTTGCTGTTTCCTGACCCCTTGCTGTCTGGTTAAACTGGGACCTCAGAGGCAGGGCATCCTAAACTATCACAATAGCCAGTGTCCCTTGGTGACGCCATGTGGATTTGGATTCACCATGGAAATGCCTCTGGGAATCCAACTAAATGTAGGCTGCCCCATCCCATGGGCTGGGAAAAGCAGAGGGAGCTAGGGACCAGCATTGAGCCGTTTCCTGAAGGCATAACCAGCCACCACCTGCTCCTACAGCTGTGCCTTCCTCTCCCCAATTGGAAAGGCAGAACACACTGAAGTTGCTTCTGACAGGTATTTTGTCAACTGCACCGAGTAACTGACACAGCTACAGGAGGATCTATTTATTCACTACGGATAACTTTCTCCCCTCCTTTCCTATTTCAGTCTGGAATGTGTTTGCCTGAACACGGTCAATCTTACCATCTGCACAAAGTCAACTGCCTTAAGGCTTTTCTAGACCCAATCAGATAGCTTGGTGATGCTTCCCTGTGTCAGGCATCGTCAACTGAAGCCTTCCTCTGGGGGTGCCATGGACCTGAAAGTTTTCCTGGTATCTTGACTAGGTGATGATGTGCGTGGCACACCCAGGGCAGAGCTTGCGCAGGCAGGAGTGAGCGGCTGAGCCTGAGTGACAGAGAACCTGTAGGGTGGCCATGACAAGAGAAGTGTTTGGCAGCTGCACTTCTAGAAGGCAGCTCCAAGACTGACTCTCAGCAGGGAAGCCACTTGGCTGTCAATCCTACAGGATGGAAATGGAGGGTTCTTGGCAGGACAGGATCTCTCTGAAACGTAGTCCCAGTTAGCAGGGAGCCCTTGCCTTCTTGAATACAGTCTCTAACTGGATTCCAGACAGTGAGGCTGCGGCTGTGGGAAAGGCTTGCTTTCCCTTGGCTGGGTAACTGTGGGAGGTGAGGGAAAAACATGTGTGTGTGTGTGTGTGTGTGTGTGTGTGTGTGTGTGTGTGTGTGAGAACTGTGAGTGAACAAAACTCCCCATCTCAGCAGTTAATAGAGGGTGGGTCTCAGAGAGTCCTGCTTTATACTTCCGCCTTCAGGGGCATGTCACATGGCCCTGATCAGTGAAGGAAGGTGGCCACTGTCCTAACCCCATTCTGAGCAGCAGGGTCCCAGGCTCAGAGTCACAGGCTTGGGTGCAGTGACAGCAGTCAGCGTTGCCCATGGTGACAATGTGTTACAGAGACAGAAAGAAACACTTGCTGAACAGGCCCTCAGCCTTCTCAAGAAACCTGGTTAGTCTGGGTCCATTTTTCTTTTTGGTGGAATTGCCTAGAATAAAGTTTTACTTAGAGACGTCTAATAAAAATGACTGAAAAGTAAAACACATAAAAACTTTATTGTATCACACACCTAAATTTGCATCAATTTGACAAATTGCTGCTCATTTTGCAGAGCGCACACAGACACACCCAGGGCAGTTTGCTTATAGGACAATTGACTCCTAGAACTGTTCTTGCTCACAGTAGGCTGCCTCCTGCCTAACCCTCCCTGACTGTGTCCCACAGTGGGTATTGCCTCACCCCTACAAGGGGGCAAGGATGGGGCCCGGGAGAATCTGCTGCCAGAAGAGCTAGTGGTGTATGCTAAGAGGCAGCATGTTAGCCCAAGTGGTGTGTGCTAAGAGCCAGCATGTTAGCCCAAGTGGTGTGTGCTAAGGGCCAGCATGTTAGCCCATTTGGTGTGTGCTAAGGGCCAGCATGTTAGCCCATGTTAGCCCAAGTGGTATGTGCTAAGAGCCAGTATGTTAGCCCATGTTAGCCCAAGTGGGGCAGGCCAGGGTGAGTGGCTCTCGTCTTCTCTTCTCTTCTCTTCTCTTCTGGGGCTCCCCCAGTACCCCAACACCCATGTAAAAATGCTAGGTATAGTGGATGAATTCCAAGGATCATGCCAGCCAGCCAGCCCTGTGCTCTCTGCATAGGCCCCACAAGGCTCTAGAAAGCAGCTGTTCTCTTCGCTCATCTCACCCCTCAGCCTGAGTGGCTACAGTAGGGCATTCTGAGCAAAGTGAACCCCACTTAAGTACTAGGCAGCGTTCCAGAGCCTCAAGTTGGCACTGGCTGGTTATCTATATTGAAAGCAGGGAGGAGTTGTAATAGAGTCCCTAGGCTGGAGGGGGCTTGTCTCCTGCTTCTTCCCTCACAGAGGCCTGGCAGTGTGCGCAGAACAGCCACTGGGATGTGAGCACGAATGTAAGGGAAACAATAGTCCACACAGAATAGTGAAACACGTCCTGTCTGAGGTCACATGACCTGTCCCCCTCTACTGAGAAGAGGACAAGCAGCCTGCTCCACACAAGCATCATGACAGTTGTCCCCTTCTGCGTGCTATAAAACTGCCACAGAAACTCGCAACTGTCATGCATGTGAACATGTTAGGAACGACGCTTCTCCAAACTGAGAAAGGCCCAGTAAAAAAATAAAGATAGAAAATACATGCTAATTTAATGGCAAACTTATCTGATACTACAATGGTAACCATCTTGGAGTTAAGGACAGTGTAGGGTGGGGACCACCTTTCTTCTTGAGACCACCTGGACTGGAGTCTGCGTGGTCCTCAGGCTGCTGTGGTGGCGGGGACACACCACTGTCATTCAACAGCTGTGCTGAATGTCAGTGCTGCAGCAGGAAGTTGGTGGCCACATTGAGGTCATTGTTTGAGGCCCTCAGGGCCTCCAAGGCATCCCCTCTGGAAAATCCCATCTCCATGAGCCGGGCAACCTGCAAAAAGAGCAGAAAACTGAGGTTCTTCCTAACTTCAGCCGCATGTTTTTCACATGGCTGTAGGAAAGCTCAAAGCTTCTAAAACAAGGAGAATCAGTGAATTTCTACTCCCAGGTCAAATCTGACAATAAAAGATTATTAAGTATAAATCTGGTAGAACAAGCAGTTGGAAGGTGGAGGCAAGAGCACCAGGAGTTCAAGGTTACCCTGGGATAACAGTGAGTTTGAGTCTGGCCTGGGCTACATGAGACCCTGTCTTAAAAAAAAAAAAAAATGAAACAAGGATGCTGAGAGGAGGGCTCAGCTGGTAAGTCATTTGCCTGGCAAGCACAAGGCTCCCCCAGTACCCCAACACCCATGTAAAAATGCTAGGTATAGTGGATGAATTCCAAGGATCATATATAGGGTTGTCCTCTGGTGTGTTTGCGTGCTCTCTCCTTCCCTACCTCTTTCTCTCAAGAAAAAAAAAAAATCAACAAAATGACTAAAGGCAAACCTCTCAAGTGCTTACCATAAAACAGAGTAGCCTAAAGCCCCTGGGGGCAGGAAGCACCAGGATTGTACAGATCACAAATCTTGGTTGTGTGAGTAGAGGCTTCCTGTACTTTGTTCACAGGTAGGCTGTCTCCAGTGCAGAAACAGGAGGAGCCCCACACATCCATAACCTGCTTTCCCAGGAAAGCCAAGAGCTCAGGCTGAGTGCAGTCACGGCACCTGTGAGCCAGAAATGTGAGTTCAAGTCTACAGTGAATACAAGGCCAGCCCAGTCTACACAGGTTTCCATCCCTCTGTCTCAAAAACAAACAGAAAAAACTCAATAAAAAAATCACAGAAAGTATTGCCTGGGCTACTACCTACTAGGGACTTCTAGTCTGGGATCTTTATAGCCAAAGAGACACACACACAGAAAGGGCAGGTGCCTAAAAGTCACATGGATGTGGGAGAGCCATCACGCCAGCAGCAAAGGGAAGAGCCCCCCGGCTGCGGGACCAGTGAAAGCAGCTGGGTGAGCCCCAAGCTGGGTGAGCCCCGAGTTGGGTGAGCCCCGAGCTGGGTGAGCCCTGGAGAGAAGTAAAGCAGAGGGGCAAGGAGCGCTGTCATCACGGACGACAGGCTCTGTCCCCACAAGCAGAACTTCCATCTGGACCAGCAGAGCTCATCTCCTGTTCTGCTGCTCACACAGCAAAGAGCCCAGATGGGAAAAGAAGGTAAAAGCTGTCCTTGCTCTCCCCACACCAAGGGGGCTGAGCTGTATCTGCACATGCCATCGCCTCCATCCGCACACGTGGACCCGCTCACACAGCACAGGCTGACCCTTACAGAATCAGTCTTGTGTGTCATTCAGACCACAGCCACAGTAAGAAATGCAGCCTAGTGTGCATCCTGGGCATGGGACCTGGGAGGTGAAGCCACAGGGCAAACACCTCCTACTGTAATGTAAATCCTACTCTATTCCTTCACTGGGACTAGGACATACTTCTTTGGGATTCCTGCATTTTCTGAAGAAGAGCTGAGACACCCAGCCTCATGGACTAAACACATACTGGATTTTTGAACCTTCTGTTGGTAATCGGAAATTGCTGGATTAGCTGGACCCAAGTCTGCAAGTCATTCTAATTACCCCCCCCACACACACACAGTCACTGTATATGTGTGTGATATATACCAACACATCAATATATCATGTATGTATAGATATCTATATATATTCTATAAGTTCTGTTCTTCTAGAGTACCCTGGCTAATAGATATGTTCTTTGGTTTTTGGTTTTTGTTTTTGATTTGATTTGTTTGGAGACAGGGAGGGCTTCCCTGTATAACAGCCCTAGCTATCCTGGAAATCACTCTGTAGACCAGTCTGGCCTCGAACTCATAGAGATCCACCTGCCTCTGCCTCCTGAGTGCTGGGATTAAAGGTGTACGATGCACAACTTCCTCCCCCCGAAATACCCATGCTCTTAAGGCATGCCTCTTACTGTCCCAGTAAAAAGAGCTTGGCTTCTTTGACAATGCCATGGATTTCTTTAACAACCATACTCTTTATATCTATAACTTTCTATACTACTTTTTAGACTAGACTGCACAGTTTTCAAATCCTTCTGCTCAGCTTTTTGCTCCCAATTCTCACTGCAGATGTGGTTAGAAGCAGGCAGGGGGTGGGGGGGGCAGGTTTCATCCGGAGTGCCATGCTACATTGAAATTTCCTCCACCAAATTAATTAGTTACTTTTTTCTTTTGTTTTTGTTTGAATTAGAAACAAGATTGTTTCACATGTAATCCCAGTTCCCTCTCCCTCCCGTCCTCCCCTACCACCCTCCCAACTAAAACCCTGCCTATCACATATCCTTTCTGTTTCCCCTGGATGGTGAGGCCTTCCATAGGGTGTCATCTGAGTCTATTGTATCCTTTGGGATAGGGCCTAGGCTCACCCCCGTGTGTCTTAGCTCAGGGATTATCCCTCTATGTGGAATGGGCTCCCAAAGTCCACACCTAGATAGGGATAAGTGCTGAACTATACTACAGGAGGTCCCGTAGATTTCTGAGGTTTCCTCACTGAAACCCATGTTCCTGGGGTCTGGATCAGT